AATGTCCCACGTACTGCTGAGAAGAACATATATTGTGATGTTGGATGGAACACTCTGTATATGTCTATCAAGTCCATTTGTTCACAGGTGTGATTCTGTTCTGTTATTTCTTTGCTAATTTTTTGTCTGGTTGATCTGTCCTTTGGTGTCGGCGGTGTGTTAAGTTCTCCTGTTTGAGGTGTAACATCAGGTTAATTATTTGTATTTGTTCTGTTTTCTTCATGTGGGAACTCAGTGCAATAAATTTTCCTCTAAGGACAGCTTTCATTGCATCCCACAGATTCTGGTAAATTGTATTTGTGTTTTCATTTGTTTGTAGGTATTGTTTAATTTCTTCTTTAATTTCCTCTGTGACCCACTGATTACTCAAGAGTGCATTGAGTGTGTTATTCCGTTTCCATGTGTTTGTGGGATTTTTGCATTATTATTAATTTTAATAATTAATAATTAATTAATCATTAATTTCTAATTTCATAGCGCTATGATTTGATAACATGCAAGGGATAATTTCAACTCTTTTGCATTTATTTAAATATGTTTTGTGAGTTAATATATGGTCTCTTTTAGAGAATGACCCATGTACTGCTGAGAAGAATGTGTATTCTGTTGTTGTTGGGTGGAATACTCTGTATATGTCTATCAAGTCCATTTGTTCACAGCTGTGATTCAATTCTTTTATTCTTTGCTGATTTTCTGTCTGGTTGATCTATCTGTTGGTGTCAATTATGTGTTAAGATCTCCTGTTATAATTGTATTACTGCTAATTTGGTTTTTCATACCTGTTAATACTTGTTTTATGTAACTGGGTGCTCTGGAATTAGGTGTGTATATATTTAAGATAGTTATCTCTTCCTCTTGAAGTTTTCCCCTAACCAGTATGTAGTGATCTTCTTTATCTCTTCTGGTCATTATTGGTTTGAAGTTCACATTGTCTGCAAACAGAATAGCTATGCCCACTTTTTTTTTTTGGGTTCCTTTTGCATGAAGTATTGTTTTCCATCCTTTGACTTTCAGTCTGTGAGTATCCTTTTGGGTTAGATGGGTTTCTTGTAAACAACATATGGTTGGATTTTGTTTCTTGATCCATTTTGCCCATCTGTTTCTTTTAATTGGTACATAGAGACCTTTTACATTAATGGTTATAACTGTTATATGTTGGTGTATTTTTGACATTATCTTTCTGCTGTTGCATCTTTATCTTTCTGTTCTGTTTAATTGTCTGCTTTGTGTAGTGTTTTTTTCCTAAGTGTATCTAAAATGTCTTTCAGTATTCTTTGCAGGGTTGGCTTGGTGATCATAAAATTCTTCAGCTGTTCTGTGTCATGGAAATACCTTATTTCTCCATCGATTTTGAAGGACAGTTTTCCAGGGTACATCAGTCTAGGTTGGAAATCATTTTCCTTTAGGATCTGAAATACTTTACTCCATGCTCTTCCTGACTTTATTGTTTGTGCTGAGAAGTCTGCTGTGATTCTGAGAGGTTTTCCTTTATAGGTGATCTGTCTTTTCTCTCTGACCGATTTTAATACTCTATTCTTTTGTTTGATTTCTGGGATAGTGATTATCATATGTCTGAGTGTAGTTTTATTTTGGTTATGGCTATTTGGCGTTATGTATGCTTCATTGATCCTGATATCAGTTTCCAATCTCATGTTTGGGAAATTTTCAGCTATTACTTCTCTAAATGTCCTCTTGACATCCTTTATGTTGTCTCCTTCTTTTTCATTTATCCCTTTCAACCTTATGTTGTTTTTCTTTGCATCATCTTGTAGGTGTTGAATTGTTATTTCCTGATTTCTTGTTATTTTTAAAAGATCTTTCCTTTGCTTTTCACTGGCTGCAATCTTGTGTTTGAGGTCTGAAATTCTATCTTCACATTCATTGAGGCGGTTTTTACAACTTTCAATGGAATTTTTGATTTCCTGTATATCTCTTTGCATCTGCTTTATATATTCTGTTTGCTTCTTATATTGTTCATCCAGGGATTCTTTTTGTTTAGTTCCTCCAATTTTTTAACTGTGTCTTCTTTAGATATGTTTGGCATCTCCTTCGTTTCTTTTATCATTTCTTCTTTTACCCGAGAAATTATTTCTAGTTTGAATTCCTTTAAAGCTTCCCAGAGTTGCTTCTTTATTTCGGTTACTATTGTTTCTGGTTTTTCAGTATATGGCATGTATTTTCTTCTATGTACATGGCTCCTGGGCTTTCTTGGGATGGGCTGGATGTTTGAGATTGCATTTTGGTGTTTTGTTTTGTCATTTTCCTATATTTCTGTGTTTCAAGTGTTGTTCCAAAGCTTCCCCTGGGTTTGTTGGAAATTGTCTCCTATGTCCTGGGCTCCTGGGACTCCTCTGGTAGTGTAGCTCCCTCCTTGGCAGCGAGGCCCCTGGATTAAAATAAGGTTGCCAGGCTTCTCTCAGGTAGACCTAAAGCTTTCTCAAGCTACACTGCTCCCCCCTCTGGCAGCAAATCTCCCCTGAGGAAAAGAAGGCCACCTGGTGTGGTCCCAAATCCCGCTAAACCCAATCTAGTGTGGCTGCAAGCCCAGCAGGCCCCAACCCCCTAAAGCAAGGATCTCATACTCTCCTGGGAATTGGATGTTGTGTAACCATCCAGCTGCTTGGATGGCAAAGCTCCCAGGCTGATAAAAGGTACCCCTATGGCCTAGGTAGGCCTCAAACCTCCTCAGCAGGGCTGCTCCCTCCTCCAGGTGATGGCAGTAGTGCTGGTGTTCTCCAGGCTGAAAGAAGGTCACAGGGAAGACCAGAGCAGGTTCTTGCAGCTTGGCCCAGCTCTGTCTTCCAGGCGGGCAGCTGTGGTGTGCCCTCCAGGTGAGAGAGGGTGATCAGCAAGGCTGGAGTGGGGTCCCAAGGCTCGGCCCAGCTCACTTCTCCAGGCCTAAGATGCTTCTTTTGCTCACAATGGTGCAGTGACTCTGGACATAATCAGCGAGCTGGGGGGAATGCAGAGAATGGAGTCTCCTTTGTCCTGCCTCTGGGACTGCTTCAGACTTCACTTTTGCAGTTTTAAACACAGTCCAGGGTGGGTCCATTTGTGCCACAGGTCTCCAGAAGCAGCCTCATTCAGATTGTGCAATCCCCTGGCCCAGGTCACTCATGGTTCTCCATGCTCCATCACCATACTTGCTTATTCCTCCCTCAGGATTAGACAGAGTATAAGCCACACTTCCTTTTCCTATCCTCCAACATGTTTTTTTGTTTGTTTGTTTGTTTTGTTTTTTGTCTTTTTCCTTTTTATCGGTACCAGTGATCGAACTCACAACTGCCTGCTTGCAAGGCAGGTGCTTATGCCGCCGAGCTAAATCTCCAGCCCCTCTCCAACATGTTTTTTAAAAAATTATTTCTGTATTTTGACTTTTAAAAAGTCATTCATGCAGAAGTAACTACAATCTAAAGAGAAGGCAAGGATAGTGAGGCTGAGCATATGAAGAAGCTGGCTGGTCAGGGAAACTTAGTAGCCATGGGGTTGACTTTGTCCTGTTAGGCTGTGATAGGCGGGTGTGTGTGTGTGTGTGTGTGATTCAAGTTCAGTTTTGGGAGAATTAAAAATTACTGTTAATCATGGAATTTTGGAATTGCTGAAGTTTAGTTTTAAATTGTTATTAATTAATTAATTAATTAATCAATTTATTCAGTACTGGGGATCCAATTTATGACCGCACACTTGCTAGGCAAATGCTTGTGCCACTGAGCTAAATCCCTGGCCCAGAATTGCTTAAGTTTAGAACACACTACCCTCAGAGAGCACCTTGGCATTTGAGTCACAGCAGAAGTAGTGTCAGTCTCACCTAGTGGTGCTCCCTTGGCCCAGAAGCAGGTCACAGAGTCCAGAAGATCTTCCCTGAAGGAACTCATAAAACCCTCAACCCAGAGACAACTCTTTCTGCCTGGAGGAAAGGATGCTATTATCCCTGAAGTGTCAAGATGCAAAAGAGTCTAGAGAAACAGGCCTGTGACACTTGTCCTGTTTGCTACCACTGGAATGTGTACAGTTTATGCCTTTGGACTGTGTGGCATTGCACTCTTCATTCAAGCTCAGCATAAAAGCAAAATGTTTTGCAAGATGTTCATTTCCTTATGAAGCCTCCTGTGTTATCTAAAATGGGCAAAAAATGAGTTTTTTTCCTCCTTCAAAATCAAAAGCATTTAATGTTCAGTTGCCACAGGATTTTTGTCTATGGTGGTTCAATGTTGGTTGCCACTATAGGCTTATGATCCCCTTTCCTGTTTTTTAAACATTAAGTTTTATAAGCATCCTTTCTTATGATACATAAATTACATTTGACTTCATCTTGAGGTAAGAAATAGAAATAAAATATCCAAAATAATTTTGACTTTCCTTCTGATAGGAATTACCATTTGATTTTAACTATTGAATTTTAACTATTGAATTAACTATTGAATAAACTATTTTATCTTTGCTGATTTGATAATTTGGTTCTGGAATTAGAATCCCGTACAAACATCTTAAGGGACAATACACAGAAAAGCATTTTGACCAGCACCTACTCTCCAAGTCACCTGTGCAAAACCTTTCTTGGCTGGAGCATAGTCCTGTGTCTACTTGTTTAATCAAACCAGATATCATGTGTCTGCTAGAGCTTGCAGGAATTTAACACTGCAGTCTCAGTGCAAGTTTTATTTATGAATTGGTTGCCTAGTGAAATATGCCCAGGCATTTGAAATTAGTAATAATGAGTCGAATATATACATATTTTAAAAATACATCATTTGCTGTCTCTTCTTGTGGTTAAAGCAGAGCAGGAGAGCAGTAGTCTCCTCCAGCTGCCATGATCATCCCACACTTCCCTTACATTGCCCATCAAATATGTATAGATTTAATGATCTGGAAAGGGCTTGGGGAAGTTTTTAACAGTGCCGCCTGTTTATTAATAGGCCCCCTGTTATTGTGGTGTGATGGTGTCAGGATACTGCTGATGATACTGCAAGAGGCAATTAAGAGCTTCTTTATTCCAGATAAAAAGGAAGTAAGTGACTGATCAGCAACACAGAGGCAACTGAACACCCTGGCAAGTGTGCAGGGAAAGGAGAAAAGCAAGAGCTAAGAAGAGGTCAAAGGGTTGGAAGACACTCGGTGAGTTCTCTCTGCTATGTGGCATGACAAGGACTAACCTGAGTGGATGGGGAAAGAGGAAATAACGGGAAAGCGTAGAGTAAGAAAGAATTAAAAATGGAAAGGAATGGAAACCTTCAAAAGGCCTCTTAGCTCCCCTTGGCTAGGAAGACGTTCTGCTCATTTGATTATATTTATTTCAAGGTCACGGTCAGCTATTTGTATACTTGTAGGGTAGTTTTTGTGGAGGTGAAAAAATAAATTAGTATTTACCCCTTGCCCTAAGATAGAAAAAGTATCCTTATGGAAAAATGTACTCAAGGCTGGGGGAGGAGGCCCGTCATCTGTGAGGATGTCTGATAAGCATCTCTGAGGAGCCCATCCATGTGTGTGCATTTGGCTGAGAAGTTGAAGGAATGTGAAAGAAGAAAGCTACTGTCCTTACCATGCCAAGCTTTTTAGGAAAAGTGCCCAGCACCACACATTCACCCAGAACAGTGATGGTGAACCTTTTAGAGCTTTCAGTGATACAAACAGCCTGCTGTGGTGCATGTGCCATAGGTTCACCACCACTGCCCTAGAATATGATTTGAAATCAGTCACCCAGATGAAATTTCAGAGAGATAAGTAAGCGGGGGTCTAATGTTCATGGAGCAGTTTATTTTATTTTATTTTCTTAACTTAGCAGACATTAATTAAGTACCTATTATGATTCCAGAACTACACTATATGCTGGGAATAGAACAGAAAGTCTATATATTCTAGTAATGCTTTACTGGTTCCTTCCCCTACATAATCATCATTGTTGTGGACTGAACTGTGTACCTTCCAAATTTGTATGTTGAAAACTTTACTCCTACCAATCAGAATGTGACTTACTTGGAGACAGGGTCTTTACAAGGGTGACTGTGGTTAGTGATCTCTTTAGGGTGGTCCCTAACCCAGAGCCATGTATGTTCTCATGAGAAGAGGTGAAATTAAGATACAGACACACAAAGATGGAAGACCAAGTGAAGATGCAGGGAGACTATAGGGAATGCAAGCCAAGCAGAGAGGCTTCTGAAGAAATAAGCCTAATGTCAGACTTCTGCACACTGTAGCTGTGGGAATGTAGGGTTTCTGTGGTTGAAGCCATGCAGTCTGTTGTACCTTATTACTGGGGTCTCAGCACTCTTGAACAACCTGAAAAAGGAAGACTTTGACCCCACTTTAAGATAATTGTTATGGTTTATTCATTGTGTCAACTTGAGAAGTTTAGAAGTTTAACTGAGAGACTCAGCGGGGAGCCACAATCCTTACTTTGTAAATACCCTCATCCTGTACAAGAGGAGGTCCCACAGGTTTTGTGAGTGCTACACCACTGGGTCCTGATCTAGATCCTCAATCTCCCAAATGAGTGTACATCAAAGGCTTAAGTAAATGATGCAAGTGGTATGATTTTAGGGCTCCAGGAGGATCAAATTCTTTAGCTGAGTTTGAGATTCTGAGGGCCAAGACAGAAACTTCTCAGGGCCTCCCATATTTAGTAGGTCCACACAAACAGTGGGAAAACTGAGAAAAGTACAGGCAAAGAGCAGGACCTTGGGAATGACTTCAGTGACTTCTACAAATAGTAAATTATGCCAATTAAGGAGAACTGTAGTATCACTATGAAGAAATTTATGGTAGGGGTAAGGCTGCAGGAGTGAAATGCCTATAGCTGTGGTTTCTACCTACTTAATTGATGTTTGAGCCAGGTGTCCACAGCTGTGGCCTCATCTTGCCCTTTGAGGTATCACAGGCCACTACAGGCCTCAGCCAGGGCCAGTGATTCATAGAGGTTCACTTATGATGAATCAGCTCCTATCACCAAGCAAGAGGCCTAGGCTTAGGACAGACTCACTGATAAACACAGAAAACTAGTTAATTTTCAGTCCTGCTCAGAGCTGCATCATAGTGGTCTCCAACACTACACTTGTCCTGGGGAGGGAGGTTGCCTGTGTACAATATAAGGGAGGAAAAGAGGAAAAGCTCTGTCCACTTTTCTCTGGCTGCTGCCTTGAAGTGTTGCCCCTGTGCCATGCCACCCCGACTTGCAGCCAGCTGACTATAGACTGAAATCTTCAAAAACTGTAAGCTGAATAAACCTTTGCTTCCCTAATTTTGGGCATTAGGTATTTTGTCTCAGCAATGAGAGAAAAATAACCAAGATGGAATTTGGTACCAGGAGTGGGTCATTGCTGTTACTATACCTGACTATTTTGTTCGAGAGACTTTGGGAATGGCTTGTGAGAAGAATTTGGAAAGGTTTGGAGATGTTGCCTGAAGGAGTCATGCTGGAACATTTTAGCTGTTCTGTATGGGAGATTCTGGTTAGAGCTCAGGAGACCAGAAGTCTGATAGAAATCCTGCTGGTAAAGACCAGGCTAGGGAGCTTTCTGCTGGGAATAAGGACTGCATTGGCTGCTGGAGTCTAGATAATGCGTGTTATAGCCTGGCAGAAAGTTTGTCTGTATTTTGTTCATGTCCAGAGACTTTGCCTGAGACTAAGATTAAAGGTGGTGGACTGATTAATCTGGCAGAAGAAATTTCAAGGCAGTCAAATGTTAAAGCAGTGGCATGGCTATTGTTGTGGCTTTTTGCCAGCTTTATGTTTCAAATCAAGAGCAAAGAGCCCAGCAGTATGATTCAAAACATGAGTTTGCCCAGAAAATGGTGAACTATAAAGGCAGAGCTGAGATCATGATTGCTGAGAAAGAACAGAGAAATAAAAAAGATCACCTGGGGGCATCGTGGAAAGCAGCCTCAAAACTGCAAAAGCGAAAGACTTTACTTGGAGGAGAAAGCTACAGAGTGCGATGCTCTAGAATAGTATTGGCAGCCACCGAAGGTTCCAAAATGGCAGTGGCCACACCAGGTTCCAGAATGGAGCTAGCATAGAGAATTTGTTCCTTACAATCAGGTTCAGAGTGCTCAACAATCCAGGCACTCATTCTCTACAGCCAAGAGAGAAGAAAGTCTGGCTACTGCTCCAGCTGGCAGCAGACCTTGGTAGCATCAACACAGGGCTGGTTTTAAGTGCATGTAGAACACACAAGTTCTGAGGTTAAAAGAGGCTTACATTCCAATTTCAGAGGGCCTGGGAGGCCAGGGAGTGTGTCCCTGAGAGGTTGGTATATGAAGCTGTGAGTGAAACCAAAGGTGCAATGGAGAAACAGAAGTTTGGAAAAGCCAGGAGTGTGGTTCTTCTAAGGAAAGTTGCACAGATTGAGCAGAGTGAGCCTAAGAGAGAAGCTGTGGGAGCTATAGCACTGGAAGTGCTGTGGGGGTGGAGTCACCCAAGTCCTTTGGAGCTCACGATTTACCACAGATTGCTTCAGGTGCTGGATGTGCAGCTATAGGACTTAATGTTTGCCCTGCTGTATTTTGCACTTGCTTTGGTCTAAATCCTTTGTTTTCTCCCATTTGTAACTTTTGAAAGGGAAATGTTTTTCTTGTGCCATTGCGTGTTGGAAGTGTTTAGCACTGTTTTCATTTATAAGGGGACTTTCAGCTGTTTGCCTTACATATTAGAGACTTGGGACTTGAACTTTTCAGCAATGCTGGAACTGTTAGGACTTTGGCAACTCTTGCAAATGGATTAAAGACCTTTTGCATATGGAATGTTTATGAGTCTTTAGGGGTCCAAGGACAAAATGTTATGTTTCTAATACAAAATAATGCCGATAAGTTGGTGCTGGTTCTTAAAGATTGTTAAACCTGTGTTATAATGTTCAAGTTGTGATATTTTAAGAATAAATATGTCTTGTATCTGGACACTAATTTAAAGAAATGTGTCTTGATGCCAAGTTGACAAGGGTTGGATTGTTATGATTGATACATTGTGTCAACTTGAAATGTTTAGAAGTTTAACTGAGAGACTAAGTAGGGAGCCAGGATCCTTAATTTGTAAATATCCTCATCCTGTACAAGAAGAGGGCACAGGGATTTTGTGAGTGCTACCCCTTCCCTAGAGAGGAAAGGCCTATGTACAATATAATGGAGGAAAAGAGGTTTGCTCTGCTCGCTTTTCCTTGGCTGTGGCCTTGAAGTATTACACCAGTGCCATGCCACCTTGCCTTGAAGCCAACTGATTATAAACTGAAACCTCCAAAAACTTTAAGCTAAATAAACCTTTCCTTCCCTACTTTTGGACATCAACTGTTTTGTTTCTGCAACTAGAAAAAAGTACCCAAGATAATAGTGTAAATTCAGGGAGTTACATAAGTAATCCAGGTTCATAAACTAATGAGTAGCCAGATATACTGGTTGATACCTGTAATTCTGGCACTCTGGGAGAGGGAGGCAGGATGTTTCTGTGTTTCAGACCAATTTTGCAAGACTCAAAAAATTTAGAAAAGGCCTGGGAGATGGAGCTGAGTGCATAGGCCCTGAGTTCACCTCCAGTATCATAAACAAACAAACAAACAAAATGAAAAACCAAAATGAAATGAAACAAAACATGCCCAGAAAACTAGTGAGGAGTTTTCAGACACTGGATTTCAAAAATATTCATAGTTACTAAAAGCGTCAGAATTAAAGACATATGCATCAGAATTTGTAAAAGAAACTTTATACATTTTATATTGAACAGTAACTGTTATAAGTAAATGGCTCTTAAAGGCTAATGCAAGCATTTCAGGATTTTTAGAAATCCATGTGAGAATAAAGGATCTTCCTTACTTCTCCCTTACTCAGAGTATCCCCTTCAGATCTTATGCTCATACTTTTGGGCAAACACAAATTAAAACTCATTTCAAAGAGAATGAGGCAAAGATGACTAAAAACTCTGCAACATCCCAAGTCAGAAATGGACAGATGGACTAGGGTATCTCTTAAAGAGCTCTTTCACTGGAGGAGGAAAGTGTGGGAGGTGATTTGTTGTGGAGGAGTCTGTAGGGAAGAACCAGGACTGAATTCTTAGAAGGACAGATTCAGCCTGCAACAGAGTTACATCGTGACACACAGGGAGGCTTTGGGGAGGTCTTCATTTGTAGGACAAT